CATCCGTGGTCTCCACCACTAGACGCTGGTAGCACACCTTCCCCATCTCCCTGCCCAGCTGTGATGACCAGAATGTCTCTAGACATTGCCAAACATCCCCATCATGCAAAATCACCCCAAAGTAAGATCCACTGACCCAAGGGATCCACAAGTAGACTAGTAAAGTCAGCCTTCCCTGAAACTGGGGAAAGCGCACCACCATGCCACACTGATGGAAATCCACCAGAAGTCATCCAAATCAGGTCAGAGTGACAGGTGCAGGTGAGGTGAGTCACTTTAGCTCATGGACAAGTAAGAGATGTGAGAGTGGGGCCTGGACCACAGGTTACCAGGGACAAAGATAAACTGTCTGCCTGGGCTGGTGCCCCATCCCGGCAGGTCAGGTGAACGGCAGGACCCAGGTAAGAAGAGACGGCCCTGTCATTTTCACTCACCGGCAGGCAGTGCTGGAGCGTAACCTAGGAATCATGTTGTAAGTCAAAGGAGTCAACAAGGGACACACATAGTGTTCCCACCAAGCACAAGGGCCTGTGCTCCAACTTCTCGATGGGGCGCCAAGCCCAGCTCAACCTGGGAAGAGCTGGGAGCCAAGGGGGTTCACTCCAAGGGCACTGGCTTCACACCAAGGCAAGGGAATAGAGGATTTGGAGGGATGCACCCAGAGCCAAAGTGTCGAAGAGGATGATGACGCCATCTAGCGTTTGTTGGACATCTGCCCCGGGCTGAGCACTGTGCTGTCTAACTCAAGAGTAACAATTGTCAGTGTCCAGCCTCCACCTCCAATTTTTAAAAAGAAGATGAACAGACAGAATTGGTAGAAACACAATAGGAGCCTTTGAAATACCTCTCTAGTCCTTAATGGAGAAACCAGATAGAAATTCATAAAGACCATAAACGAAGTGTGGTTAATATAACAAATATCTATGCCCCACCCCACAGCTTTCAAAGACATCATATGTTTCTGTATTTACAACAGAGCTTTTTTGCTTAATGCATAAAATACTACGAGACCTTTGAAGCCCCATTTCTCTGTTACCATTTTGTCTCCGCTCCCTCCCTCCACAGGGGAAACCCTGATTCTTGAAGGTGATGAACACGCTCTCTTCTGTGCTTTTGATGATATATGTATATATATTATCCACACTTAGGCTCACAAAATCATATCTAACATTGTTTCCTGTTATTTTTTAATTACTTATAACATTGTTTCCTGTTATTTGTTATATAACAAAATTATATATAACAATGTTTTCTGTTATTTTTACACAAATTGTATCATGATGAACATGTTCTTTTTCACTTTCTTCTCACCGTCTCCTCCCCCATACTAAGTTTTTGAGAATTTTCCAGGTTGATATCGGTAGACCTGATTTAATCCTTTTACCTGTGGCAGAGTAATCCATTGCATAAATTACCTAATCCAATCCCCTACTGAGGAACATTTAAGTCATTTCTGATTTGTTAACCAGTATGAACAACACTGCAATGAAAAATCTCACACATACCATTTCTTGAGAATGCATAAGAGAGTTTCTCCAGGGCAGGGTCCCCAATCCTGTGCTGTGAACCAGTACAGGTTCGGAACCGGTTACAGGTTAGGAACTGGGCCGTACAGCATGAGATGAGTGGCTGCCGAGTGAGCAAAGCTTAACCTACATTTACAGCTGCTCGCTGTCATTTGCATGGCCTCCTGAGCTCTGCCTTTTGTCAGATCAGCAGCGGTACTAGATTCTCACACGAGCGTGATCCCTACTGTGAACTGCACATGCAAGGGATCCAGGCTACGAGCTCCTTATGAGAATCTAAAGCCTGATGATCTGTCACTGTCTCCCATCACCCCCAGGTGGGACCAGCCAGTTGCAGGAAAACAAGCTCAGGGCTCCCACTGATTCTACATCATGGCGAGTTGTATAATTATTTAATTGTATATTACAATATAATAATAGAAATAAAGTGCACAATAAATGTAATGTGCTAATAATAATAGAAATAAAGGGCACAGTTCATGTAAGGTGCTTGAATCATCCTGAAGCCATCCCCCACCCAACCCAGTCTGTGGAAAAATTGGCTTCCACATAACCCGTCCCTGGTGCCAAAAACACTGGAGACTCCTACTCTAGGGCCCAGATAGGGGAGTAGAGTTGCAGGAGCATAGGGTATAAATGTTTTGACTTAACTAAATACTAACAAAAGACTTTCCAAAGTGGCTGAAACCATTTATACTCCCAACAGTGGGATAGAAGTTATTGCTTTCCAGAGTCCTATTTTCTCAAATCTTCAAAGAACTGATTATTTCTGTACTATGGAAACAATTCCAGTACATTGAGAAAGACAAAACGTCACTGAATGGTTTCTCCACAGTCAGCATAACCTGAATGCCAGGGCCTGACACAGATTCCCTGCAGAAAAGGTAATTAGAGAAAGTTCATGCAAAAAGCTAGAGAAAAGCGCTGGCAAATAACACACCACAATGGTGAGGAACTGATTCGCAAAATCCAGGAGCTATATGGTTTAGGAAACTTTTAAAAATGCTCTCATAACGTTAATAGGGCAAAGGAAAAAGCAGCATATGATCATTTCTTATAAGTCACAAAGACATTTGATAAGATTTAACATCCATTTCTGATACTTGAAATTATCAGTAATTCCTTCTTATAAGATTTTGTTCGTTTGGTTGTTTTTTTGTTTCTGGTTTTTTTTTGTTTTTTTTGTTTTTTTGGAGACAGGCTGTCACTCAGTTGCTCAGACTGAAGTGGTGTGGCGCCATGCCATCGCAGCTCACTGCAACCTCCACCTCCAGGGCTCAAGTGATCTTCCCACCTCAGCCTCCTGAGTGGCTGCGACTACAGGTGTGTGCCACCATGCCTGGCTAATTGCTGTTTTTTGTTGTTGTTGCTGTTTGCTTTTGTTTATTTGTTTGTTTTTTGTAGAGACAGGCTTTTGGAATGTTGCCCAGGCTGGTCTCAAACTCAGGCTTAAGCAATCCATCCGCCTTGTCTTCCCAAAGTGCTGGGATTCCAAGTGTGAGCACTGTAGAATTTTTTTAATGCACATTCCAATCCAAAAATTACCATCAAATTTACTTGTAGAAATACCATCAGCCTTCTATGAGAGTCACAAGTTAAGAATATCTTTATCACTAGTATTGCATGACTTCATTCTAGAAGTGCTGAACAAAGCAATCAGACAAGAATATAAAACAGTCATGAACACTGGAAAAGGCAAAACAATCATAATTTGTAGATAATAAGGTTGTATTCCAGGAAAACCCAAAATAAGAGAAAAACTATTAAAACAATAAAAATACAGTAATATGATCAGTTATAAATAATACACAACAATCAATGACTATCTCACATGTAAATTATAACAAGTTAGAAAATACACACTTTACTGGCCGGGCGCGGTGGCTCAAGCCTGTAATCCCAGCACTTTGGGAGGCCGAGACGGGCGGATCACGAGGTCAGGAGATCGAGACCATCCTGGCTAACACGGTGAAACCCCGTCTCTACTAAAAAATACAAAAAACTAGCCGGGCGAGGTGGCGGGCGCCTGTAGTCCCAGCTACTCAGGAGGCTGAGGCAGGAGAATGGCGTGAACCCGGGAGGCAGAGCTTGCAGTGAGCCGAGATCTGGCCACTGCACTCCAGCCTGGGCGGCAGAGCGAGACTCCGTCTCAAAAAAAAAAAAAAAGAAAATACACACTTTAGAAAATCATTTCCCTTAAAATACCTCAAAATAAATTTAACAATGCATTTGCAGGACATGTGAAGAGCCAAAAATAAGTCTCAGTGAAGATCTTCTTAAAAGATTTCAATACATGGAAATTCATGTCTTTTTTATTGGATAAGAAGACTCAATGCAATAAAAACATATTTTTTTCCCAAATTAGTCTATACATTCAGTATGATCTCAATGTGGGATATATTTTACCTTGGACAAAAAGAGTGATTCTAAAGTTTATCTAGAAGAATAAACATCTTACAACCATCAGAAAAACTCTGAAACAGAGTGGCATTGAGAAACTCTTTTTGCTAGATATTAAAAATGTATAAGATGATGACAGTTCAGTAAAGCACTGTGTTTTGAAAAAGGAATCAAAAGATAGCTCAAAGAGACGAACTGAGATTATAGGAAGAGACCCAAGTGTGTAGATATTTTAGAACATAATACAGTGGTCATTTCTAATAAGGGAGAATATGGAAATGGAACAGCTGAATTACCATTTGGGAAACATAAAACTGGAAGCCAGTCCATTTCTTACTGCAAAGTAAATTCCTGAAAGAACAAAGGTTTACATGAAAAAAAAAAATGCTAAAAGCAAATATGGGAGAATATGTATGTAATCATAAGTTGGGGTTGCTTGGCCATTCTAAACATATGAGCATCAGAAAACACAAAATAAGACATAAATTTAACAACATACACATTTACAGCATCTCTGAATGGCTTTAAACATGATAAGCAAAACTAAAGGCAACAATAATTCCATAATTCTTATCACCAAAGCTAATATTCACAATACACACAGAAACAAATTAATTAAACAAATTAATAAGAAAACAAGTTAATATGTGGGAACATTGACAAAAGATATGAACAGATGTTTCATAAAAGAATAAATGCAAAAGGCGAATGGGCACATTCAAGCTCAGTATCAATCAAATAAAAATTAAATATCATTTTTTGCCTATCAGATTGAACAAGAATTAAAATGTAGTTGGAAACCAGTCATAGCAAGCATTTAGGAAAATGGGCATTTTCATGCAGTCTTGGAGGGAAAGTAAAGTAAGCATCATTTATGGAAGGTGGTTTGACATTATTGTATAAAAATGTAAAATGTTCATGCCTTTGAACCCAGCAATCCAATTCGGGGAATTTATTCTAAGGAGATCATTTCAGAAGTGGGAAAAATGCATGCATGAGAAAACTTTCTATTCCCACCAGTGGGTGACTAAGAAAAATGCAGTATGTGCTTGAATAACTGCTCTGCAGAAATTAAACATGATGGCGAAATATATTTATTGATTGGTAATATTACCTTTGACATTTTCATTAAGGCATTTCATTTGTGACATTTACAAAAGGCAGGTGCCAGCATATAATGTGATGTCAATTACATAAAATTATACACATGTATCTTTATTTGTATCAATATATGTCAAAGGATTCTTCACTCTAGCTCTTTCCCAAAACCATCATAGACCCCAAAGTTTGCATGGTTCATTCTGTCTCATTGTTGAGAAGATTGTCTCAAAATGATACCACCTGGAGCTCTTTTTTCTCGTGGTAGTCATTATCAGCATCTGAAAGTACCTGTGTGTTTCTTCATTTTCTCAATGACTTCTGTGCTGCCTCTCCCATGAGAAGTGACACCATGGGGGCCAGGGCTGACTGGTCCACCTCCAGAGCCCAAATCGGACCTGGCCCAAAGTCCCTGCTTGGTAAATACCTGCTGGATGAATGCACGGTGTTGTGAGACCAGTGCTTTTCAGAGCACACTCTCTAGAAGAAATGCCAACCTGTGTTATGGACTAAGGTGTCCCATGGGCAAGTAGGTTTTGGAAACGTGGCATTGGATCAAGCCAATCCGGGGGTTTATTTGGTGCAGAACTTTTCAGAGCCTTTAATATCCAAATGCACATTGTGACTGTCCAAGAGTGTCCCAGATGTGTTGACTGCAGAAGTCCCTCTCTCTTCAGCCCCTTGGAGCGTCTTGTACCATGGGACAGTGTGGGATGGACTCTGTTCAGAAGAATATTCAGCAACATATTAAATGGGGGGCTGAGATTGGAGCTGATCCCCAATTTGTCATTGTACCGTCTGTGTTGTCTGAAATGTTGACACTGAGTGAGCACGTATCATTTCATAAATAGATCCAAGATAAAAGAATAAACATTAAAAATGCACTTATTGTCTGAATCTCAAAATCAAGTTTATTTTCCAAAACCATGAGTTCCATTGAAGTTGTTTTGAAAGAAGAAAGGCTGGTTTGAACCAAACAGAAACACAGAAAGTAGCAGAGCCAGGTCTTCTGTATTCAAATTCTACTTTCACCATATACTTATCGGGCATCTTTGGGGAAATCACACGAGATCAGTCTGTAAAATGAACACCCTCGTAAGTTGTGAGGATTCAGACTAAAAATCTAATAAGCCCCAATAAGTACTAGCTTTTTCCGTATTAGCATTGATAAATCTAAATTAAGTTGTGCCATCTAAATATGTTTGCATTCCACTTATATCAGTCCGCTCAAGTCATGGTCTCCTATACCCAAACTCTCCAGAGCCTGGAGCTGCCTCCGTTTGCTAAGAAGTCAGCAGACAAAGGTTTTGGGTGGGCCCCATATTTACTCCTGTTCACCATCAGGAAGTTCTGTGCTGGACTCACCTTCAGCCTGTGGCTGTGCTCGTAGCCATCTGCCTGCCAACAAGAGCTGTGCTAAAACAGGGGAACCGTCAGAACCCAGCCCCGGAAGAGCCTCTGCTGGGACGAATGCTGAGAAGCCAGTTCTCACAGCTGGGTGTTCTGTTTGTTTATGGAGTGGTTATTGCAGTAACATCTGGATTCCTTAACCAACACCAGGCAAAGGCAAAGATTATGTTTAGCTGCCTGGTGTATTTCAAGGGATGTAGCTTTTATTCCGCATGATCAGGAAGTAATTAGCAGCTTAAACTTGATGCCTTCACTCAGCGTTGATTCCACGCCTCTCTTTCAGCAAGGAAAGCAGTGGAATTCGTAGTTAGTAAATTCCCATTGTCTACCCCAAATCCTTAGGGTAGGTACAAACAGAAGACCTTTCTGTCCTTCCTTTGAGTCATTTACAGTTTGAGCTGCCTTTTTCATGGGACCCCATGATGACTGGGAGAGGTGAAATGGAAACATTACCCAGCAGCCTGATTATTCAGCAACCTTTACCAAAACTCAGTCATGGCTACTGTCCACCAGGCAGTGATGGGATACATCTGGGGGTGGGGAAGTGGGGAGAATCAACTAGGAAGAGAGACAGAGCTTCAGGCATAGTGTGGAATGGAAGGATTCAGGCTCGAGATTGGACTCATCTGTCTGGATCCTATTTCCACTGCATGACCTCCATTTCCGTCTAGAATTTGTGCTCTCCTCATCTTCAAAGTGGGGAAAGTGACAGTACTGACCTTGCTATGTTATTTGGGAGGTCAGTAACATTGCACACACAAGGGGCTTTGCATCAAGCTGGGCACAGAGTGTCACACTTGCCTGGTGGCTTTACTTCTGAGGAACGTGGCACACAGCAGTTCCACTGAACAGATAAGCACAGGCTCAGCAAGTGAGCAGTTGGAGGGTTAGGAGGGAAGCCCTGCAGCCTTCTGGGAGAGGTCCCTGTGCCAGCTCTGGGTCTGAGCGGGCACACCTCCACCTTGTGATTATTCATGGTCCATGGTTATATACATTTAAAACATATTTTTAAAAACAAAGGTCAGGGAACTGAAGTGACTTGCCCCAGGTCACACAGAGAACTGGAAAGAAATGTGCGTTTGGAACCCATTTCTCGAAGCGGCACCAACATGGCTATGGCTTCCACTTCTCGTGGCAGCCCCAGGCACAGCCTCCTCCTGGGTTGGAATTCTCCATTCCCACACAGGTCACTTTCTTTCCACATGTGCACACACATGCACACAACACACACATGTGCACATGTACACGCAAACACACATGTGTGCACACACACACATGCATGCATACACAAATGCCAGCACACAGTAAGGGTTTAATAATGGCAGCACCGATTTCGTTGCTGACATAATGACCCAAGAACAGTCTTAACAGAACAATTGCCTCATCTGTGTGATGGGGACAAACCTGGGAAGCACCTTCAGAACTCCGTGAGATTAAATGACAAAGTGCACTCGCAACACTTAGAATAGGGCCTGGGACCTAACACGGGCACAATTAAGGGTTGTTATTATCATTGTTATTGCTAATATTAGCCTTCTTTTGACTTATTTCCACCAAAACATGTCAAATTCTCCCCATCTTATCCTTTGGAATCTGCATGTTAACTCTGAGCAGATAAGAAATCTTGCCAAGCAATGCTTTTGTTCCTGGTCTGTAGAAAACCCAGCCCTAAGCCGGGCTTTTCACCTCTTCAGCAAAGCCTTCCCTGCCTAAGTCGGGATTCCACGCCCCTTCTCATACAAAAGCTGCTACCGACCAGCGAGACCACTCCCAGGTAACACAGCTCCTGAGAACCTCCAGATCCCAAAGTGGCTTCTTCCAGCTTTCTCCAAATAGAAAGGTTTTTAACATTTTTTAAAACTGAAACTCATTAGTTTAAAACCCCAAAGTGTGATTGTACACATTTATTTCCCTGGAATTATTTTTGAGATCAGAAAAAAATATAATTTTCCTTCTTGAGGAAAATCAAATTACATGTGCACTGACTTTCTCCAAGTAACACAACCTCAGCCCTATAATTAATATCACCACCTTCTTCCACAGCCTCATAATTAAACATGAGATGCACGGGACTGGGAGGAAGTCATGGGAAGGCAGGAGGTAGATCACCGGGCTGGTCTCTGCCACCCATTTCTTGGGAGCCCATAGGAAGGGGGGAGGTGGCATGGGGAACAAGAGCGGCCCTGAAGCGGGCTGGAGGTCACGTGATCATTTATTTCCCTTAGTGGCCCATCGTCCCAGGGCCGTCTGGGGCATGAGGCCAGCAGTGCCTATGAATGGCTGTGGAGTCTTTGCGCACTGCTTGACATGTATACTGCCGGGCCAGCCAAGACGCAGACACTCCAGCCCGTGGGCCGACCTAACGTGAAAGGAGACGGAGGGTTTGTCCGGAGTCTATGCCTGCTGTTCTCACTGAACATGAGTTTTGAGAAACACCTGTGCAGGGATGATCTGAAGGAAGCTGCAGAGTTTATTCCATTGGTGTTCTCCCTGCTTCTTGTCATCTCCTCCCGCCACGGACCTCGGGTTGTGTGGCTCTTCCCCAGCCCCCTCCTCCCAGAAATGCCCACCCAGCATCCCTCCTCCCAGCAGCACCCATCTTCCTCCCAGAAATGCCCACCCAGTGTTCCTCCTCCCAACAGTGCCCACCCAGTGGCATCCCTCCTCCCGGCAGTGCCTACCCTCCTCCCAGCAGCGCCTACCCAGCATCCCCCCTACCCCCTCCAGCTGTGCGGCTCTCCTCCCTCCCCACCCTTCCTAGTGTCCTTCCTGCCTCCTCTGTCCTCCACTCTCCTGCAGGAGGTGGGAGCCATAGGACTGGTCAGGCAAATGGACCAAGAACAGAAGTAAGCCTGTGGCTGCCAGGCTGATAACAGCCAGTATGTCTCCATTTTCTCCTCTTTGGCAAACCTCATAGGCCACATATTCCAGGTAAGGAGACCAAGAGGTGGAGAAGGTTCTTTAGGTGGAGTGGGGAGAGCAGAGGTCCACACCCACCTGTGCTGGCTAAGTCATGTGATCAAGAAATAAACCTTTCTGGCTGGGCACAGTGGCTCACACCTATAATCCCAGCACTTTGGGAGACCGAGGTGGGGGGATCACCTGAGGTTAGGAGTTTGAGACCAGCAGAGGTTGTAGTGAGCCGGGATTGCACCATTGCACTCCAAACTGGGTGACAAGAGTGAGACTCTGTCTCAAGAAAAAAAAAAAAAAAAAAAGTAAGAAATCTTTCCAAGATAAGCCATTGACATTGTCTGGGTTATTCACTGCTGCCGCTTATATTAATTACTCTACTAAACCAAGCACATTCTCTGTGCCGGACACAGGTCCATGCAACATTCAACAGCCCTGTGGAAGAGACGGGAAAAACAAATATATATTTAAAAGTGTGATCAATTCCAAAAAGACATCAAGAAGATAATGTCACAGACAACAATAGGGTTAACCTACCTATGTATCTGGGCTGAAGAAGGCCTCTCTGAAGGTGACATTTAAGACAGGATGACGAATTTCTGGGAACAAGTCAAGTGTAGGAAAGAAGGGTAGGTGTTGCAGGCTGTGGGAAAAGCTTGTGCAAAGGCCCTGTGGGAGAAGAGAATTTGAAATTCTTTGAAAAACAGAAAGTAAAAACCATGTGGCTATGGTTTGGTGCATGACAGGACCAAGTGAGGGGAAGGAAACAGGCAGGGACAGATCCCTGGGGCTCTTGCTCTAATTTTCACAGTGCAAGGGAACCTCGGAGGATTTCAAGCAAGGGAAAGACATGGCTGGTTGACTTGTTAGCGGATCGCCCTGTGTGGAGAACAGGCTGCACAGGGGCAAGATGAGAAGCAGGGAGATCAGAGAGGAGATGTGACTGTCACCCCGGTGGGAGACAGAGGCAGCTCAGGGCAGTTTTAGGAGAGAAGGAGAAGGCCACGAGCTTGAGAAGCTGTCACGTGAATTCCTCGTGCGCCACCCAGTTCTTAGGACATTCTTCCTCACCCCAGATGCAAGGTATGCAGTCTGTCCACTCAAACCCTCAGAGCTGAGGGTCCTGGCCCCTGCCAGCAGCAGCTAGGGCTTCCAGCTGGTCACCGAGCCGAGCATGTGCATCCCATCAGAGGACACTGCTGTCAGGACCGTAAGGAAATCTGAAAGGTCCAAGGGGGGACATATGGAGAGGCAAGAAGGCCTCACATGTGTCTCCAGAGCTCAGCACCCAGAAAGGGATGCAGGGTCACCAAATCTGCCTTTTCATAGACTGACCTCAGCCCAAGGATGCAGGCTGCAGCACTGACCTCCCAGCATGGAACTTTCTATCTGCTGCCCCTTTGTTCCCTGACTTGTTAGAATGTTGGGGAATGGCCTCCCCAATTTTCTGCATTTTCCCTTCTTTCAAACAGATTTTCTCTTTTGGGGAGGTATGCTTAGCTGCACTGGAAAGTTAGTCTTAAAGATGATTCTGCCTCAGTACTACTTAGGAAAGCTTTTCAAAAATACAGACTCCAGGGCCCATTGCAGGCCTACGGGATCAGAATTGTTCAGGAAGGGTTCCAGAAGGCTCTTCTTTCTAAAACCCCCCTAGACAATTCTGAGGACCAGCCGCTTTAGACCGGGACCGAATGGAAATATAGATGCAGAGATGCATTCCTACCATTCCCCAGAACTTGCTTTAGGGACTGCAATGCCATCCCAACACACGACACCCAGAACCGGCTCAGACGTCAGAGGCCAGGCACAGTGCCCACAAGAATTTCCAGCTAGGAGTTCCAGGCTCCCCAGAACTGGCGCTTCTGGCCAACTGGCCAAAAATTTGGCATTTCCCACAACCCCCTCAGGTTTCATAATTGACCAGAACAACTGGCAAAACTCAGGAAACTACTGCAGTGACAAGATTACAGTGTTATTATCAAAGGGTGGAAATACAGCCCAGCCCAGTGAAGAGATGCATAGGGCCAGGCCTGGAAGGTTCCATGGCATCACCCTGTGGATCGGGACATGTCATCCCCAGGCACCTTGATGTGTTCACTAATTGGGAGCTCACCTGAGCCCATGTCCAGAATTTTTATTGGAGTTTCATTACAGAGGCATGATTGATCAACTCACTGCCCACGCAATTAAACTCAGTCTCCAGCCCTCCTCCCCTCGCTGGAGGACTGACGTTGTGTTGGTCAAAGCCCCAAGTCTCCAATCACCAGGTTCACCTTTCTGGTGTGGTCAGCTTCCATCCTGGTAATTTCATGAGCATAAACTCAGGTATGGTTGGAAAAGCCCACCATGAGTAACATAGATTCTCCTATCAGGAAGTTTCAGGGATGTAGAGGTTTCCTCCAAGAAACCAGGGCCACTGCCTAGCCAAATCCTTTATCATGGAACCCGGAGATTTGTAACTGGACTGATGCTGTCACAGAAGACAGCCATTTACAGTCTGGCCTCTGGCAGAATCCATTGACAATAGCCTTGAGACCTCCACCTCCTTGTTAGTGGCCCCAGACGCCTGGAGTAAAACAAAGACAGTAAGGACTCTGGCCATTTATCATGGGGTGTGGGTTCTGTGGTGATGACAGTTGAATTGGAAGAGGATTTAGAGAACATTCTGGAAGGAGATCTGCATGCATTTCAGGGAAATTTCCTCTTTAAGTTGTGCTTCCTTCCAGAACATTCTGGAAGGAGGTCTGTGCACATTTCAGGGAAATTTCCTCTTTAAGTTGTGCTTCCTTCCAGAACATTCTGGAATGAGGTCCGTATGCATTTTAGAGAAATTTCCTGTTTAACTTGTGCTTCTTCTAGAACATTCTGGAAGGAGGTCTGTATGCATTTCAGGGAAATTTCCTCTTTAAGCTGTGCTTCCTCAGCACCAGAGTGCCTGGGGAGCTCTCCCACTTCCTGCAGGGTGGGCTGGGTTCTGTGGGTGCGTGCTGCTCCCGGATCACAAGCAGGCACAGCTTCAAAGGCAAAGGGGTGGAGGACCAGGTCACATCCTGGCACAGGAGACAATGTCTACACCACAGTCCGTGACACCAATGACCATCCATCCCATAGTGGGCTCTAGGTATCATCCTTCCATAGCAACTCCAGGCCCTCTACCCCAGCCTCATTTCTTGTGACTTTCAATGGGAAACTAGAAGGAGAGAGAATAAATTTTGGTTTTTTATTAAAGAAGACCACAATCGAGGGAATTAAATTGCACTTATGTAAGGCCGTTCTCTCCCAGTCTTGAGGGGAGAGGTAATTTCACAAATTAGCCCCAGAACCCTGAGACTGAGTTAGGTCCGCCAAAGCCAGAGTCCTATTCCCTGCACTGCAGAAGGCGTGGGCCTATACATTTGAGATGTTTTCTGCTCAGAGGACACCCTCCCTCGGGCCTTTTCAAATCCCTCCAATTTTTCTCCAAGCAGCCAGCTCAGTCTTGGGCTCCAAGACCCATCCACGTTCAAAGCAGTGACTTTGGCCAGAAAAAAACGAAAGAAGGGAATTCTGTGTGTGAAATAATGGATTACAGATACAGCCACTCCCCCATCACTGCCACCACTTTAAAATGAATTTCCAATTGAAAATAGCCATCGGACTATAGATAGCTTGGCGCAGAGATGGCCGGTCAGGCTCCACTCCCAGATGCCTGGGTCAGCAAATTCCAAAGCTTCTACTCAGCAGTTCCACATTCTTCCAAGAAAGCTCAGCTCTCTCCCTCCTTTCAGCCCTGGGGCCCAGGGGCCCAGGGGCTAGAGATGAGGGTGGCCACCCCCACCCTGTGCTGATGCCAGGCACCTCTCCCCGTGACGACTCCAGGCACCAAGTTAAGTAAATTACAAAAAACTGTTTGAACTTATTTATGGTTTGTGTGTTTTTCTGGTCAGCCTGACCTCTGTGAGCACCTCCAAAATAGATTTCTATTAGGGAAGATGACTTCAGCGTTTTTAACTTTTTTCTTGCCCCCAAAGTCATGGTTTTAATTAACAGTATCACCGAGTGGCTCTCCCTGACAGACAGTGACGATGCAGGCCTGTTGAGGCCCGGCAAGGAATGAGCCAAGCAGATTCTGTTTGCATTAATCCTGCCAGCACAGAAGCTGCATCTCAGGGTAGAGCAACTACAAAATGAGCTTTTGGGCCACGAGCATCTTCCAGCAGAATCTGGGGGTGTCGAGGCTGCCAGACACAGCAGGCATGCCCGCCTGACCCCATGTTGGACAGGCAGGGCTTGTGGCTACCCCAGCTTGCCGTGGCGAAGGGTGCAGAGAATCCCAGCTGCAGCTGGTTCCTGACAGGCCAGGCAGCACTTTGGCACTGCAGACTCATCGTCTTCTCCGGCACCCAGCTTGAGTGCCAGCCTTGAAAAAAATCAATCAGCTGTGGCTCTAATTAATTATAAGCTCTGAGCACCCTGAGCCTGTGCCATGAGACAGGCTGAGCTCTGCATCCTGGCTTGGTGGAGCCCCTGGATGTGACCGGCCTCCTGCTGCAGTGTGACTGCACGACGCCTTCCCCACTGCCCTGGGTAGTGTGGCTGCTGCCTGACAGCGAGCAGCGAAGCCCTGAGAAAGGATTGCCGTCAAGCGTTCATGGTGCAGGCTTCTTGGGGCATTTATTCTGTCTCTTGTTAACGGCGAGGTGAGGCAGGGATTCATCACATCAGGTCCTGTTCTTCCTGATTCGATGCTGTGTTTGACCTTGCCCAATCACACAAAAACATCCCCCTCTACCAGCAATTTCGGTCGAGGAAAGTACAGACACCCCTCGTTATCCAAACATTGTCAATTCCTGGAAACACTTTGGAGAGCAAATTTTCAGACATCAGGGCTTCATCCCTTTACGTGAACAGGGAAAAAATAATAATACATTCCCAGGCCAACAAAAAACAATCCCCAACCAATTTTCCAAATATCTCTTAAAACACTCTTCAACGCCTAGATAGCAATATGCTAAGGAGGCTTGCACAATGCAAACATTTACAACTCCTGCTTTCTAATGAGTCTACATTGGATGAACTTCTGGGTGGTGATGTTCACATGCAGTATTTAACTGCACTGAATGGAGTCAGATTGGAATCATGCTTTCCTTCTACACTGTAAGGGATGTACGTAAAATGTTAACTGCGCAAATGAGGTAACAGGTGAAAGACAGAAGCTAGGTTAATCCAGCTTGGGAGGAGCAACATGGGAGCTAGAAATGGCTAGACCCCAAGGAAAGGGAGGGAGGGGAGGAGAGTGACACTGCAGAGCGGCTCTGAATGATCTGGCAGGATCCCAGTGGGCAGGGAGCTGAGATGCCCACTGCCGTGCACCCACCCTCTAGTGGGCACCTCCAGGCACTTTCTTATTCTGAGTGAACTTGGGTAAAACGTTAACACATTGTTAAGGTAGATAATTTAGATCAGGAAAAACTGGGGTGGGCGGAGGGATCAGTACTGGTTTTGCCTCCCAAAAGGTAATTGGGCAATGACTATGTGTGGCAGGGACAAATGCATTCGGATGCTAGACGTTCAGCCCTCCTCTTCCCCGACCCACTAAAGAAAATGTCACGTGTGCCGTTTGCCCTTTAGCATGTCCGCCTCATGCTAAAACGTGGAGCCGAAAACAAGGCCGGAGCCGTGAGGACTGG